AAATAATATAAACATTAGTTACATAAATATAATTTTTTTTCTTTTGTACCACAGTAAGGAATCGCTAAATGAAAAATAAACAAGAAAAATAGAAACAAGAGAAATTTTTGCAATGAAAAAGAAAGTAACAGACAAATCTGTTTGAAAAAAAAGTTTGAAAACAGTAACCAACAATATTTCTTTGGTACCAAGCAACTGGATAAACAGAAGGAAAAAAAAATTAACAAATGAACATCAACATTCACAGTTGTGTTTGCAGACGAAGCTAAACTTGAAACTGAAGTTCCAGTTATAGCTGACGTTCTCAGTTTACGATCCCAACTGTATAAATACAGAAAGCAAGCTGCAAGCAATTGGATTTTTGGTAGATAGGAAAGAAGAGCATCAACTTTTCTACCGAGATACAACCGGAACAAATCGTGATGCCATCTCATCAAGAATCTGTAAACAGTTACCAATAATTCAAACGCAACACCAAAATAATTGTCTTTTGAAAACGAAGATATATGAAATCCATCACTTGAAGCTTTTATAAAAAAGTATAAGTGTAAAAAACATACTCGTATCAAATTATCAAGGCCTATCAAATAGCCGTCTTCATGGTTACCCATCACCCATTCTAACCGATGATTGATACCGTTGCCTTCAACTGGCGTAGATTTGGCAAAATCAATCATCCATACACCAGCTTTCGTTGAATCATAAATAAACAACAACGAGCTTCCGACAACCTACAACATTTCAAAAATTAATTATTTTCAAGCTTATTTCATGCTTCTTCCATCAAAAAAATTTTTTTATTTTTTATAAACTTACATATATATTTGGCCAATTATTTATTTCAGCATTTTACAAAAAACTGATTATTTCAGCATTTTACAAAAAATTAAATTGTTTTAAAAAACGAAACATAAACAAAAACAACAAACTTCATGTGTCTCGAAAAACTTGGATTCTTCAATTGCCTCACGTAACCGTTTCAATCGTATCAAAAACTGTTTTGTTACAGCAGATGCACGATCACCATAAAATTCCATCAATGCTTTTGCTACATCATCAGGACTTTTAACCTTTTTGAAACTCTTCTGTAATTTTCCGCCAGGCATCTGTAACCATAATTATGCAAATTAATTAAACTAAGGCATGCTTCGCTTTATAACGCATTAAACAGTTCGTTCTAATCATTTTTGCACCCCAATAATTGATAAAAATTAAGCTGAATAACCAAGCAGATTTACCTTTGCTGCTTCAATACGGAAGCCTAATGATGCCGATGAACTTTCATTTTCCCGAAATTGCATATAACGAAGCTTAGTAATAGCTTTTGCAGAATGTTCCTCTTCGGTTGGTTCATCAGGATTTTGGGCGATCATCTTTTTGTACAAATCCGGCCGTAAGACAACGTTTTTAACTTCACTTTCCAAAAATGTCCTTAAAAAGGTACTTTGTGATTATTTATTAAATCATGTTTCCTTCATTTTTTTTTTGTCAAACCTTTTCACCTCTTTCTCTAAAAATAGCCATTTCTTTCACAAAATTTTTTGCCATTTGCTTTCTTCAGTTTAGCAGCCAGCAATAAGACCAATGTAGTAAATTTTTGTTGCCAATTCTAATTCTATTTTTTGCTTGCTGACATTAAATTGTTAGATAAGACTGTAAATGTAAGAATAAACAAAAAAAAGTTATATTAGCAATTTTTAGAATAAATATTTACGACAGTAAAAAAAATTTTTATTTTTTTCTTTTTTAAAAAGAACTGAAAGAAAAGAAAGATTTTTAATGAGCAAAGCAATGAAATTAAAGTATCATTTACCGCTTTCTACTTTTTTCTATGATACTAAAGACAAACACAAAAACTGACGATGAAAAAAAAAAAAGGAAACAGTGGAGACGATGAAAATGACGGTCTAATAAACAACTATAATTGTACACTTAAAAAACATATTTATTATTGGCGACATCACTTTTATTACACTGTACACTAAACGAGTAAAAAAAATTGAAAAAGAAAAAGCAACAATTTTCTATACAAATTTTTATAATCATAAACTAAAGCAATTTTGACCTACCTAGTTTCCACCGATGATCTATCGTCCTATATAATCTTACAAACTCCTCTCCCTCCAGACAACCTATATTACATTTAGTAAACACCAACTATAATATATAAATTCTCAGATTGTTTTTTTTTGTTTTTTTCTAGACTACAGTCCAACTTGGTCAAGACTACCAACAAGCATTGCAACACTGCCCTTTTAGTTCGTTGTACTAATAAGCCAATATACTGAAAAGCTATTCAATAAAACTCCGTTTTACAGTAAACAGCCCGATAAAGTATCAAAACAAAAAGGTAAGGCTGACGATGATTACATGACAATAAGTAGCGTTCAAGTGTCCTGTCACAAGGTTGTCTGTCAATAAAACGATTCTGTAAAGAAAGTAAAAAAACCTAACAACACAGTAACTGCTGTCAGCGAAGAAAGCAATAATGGCAGCAACAGAGGAAGAAAAGATTAGGAAGAATAAAAATTGAAAAAAAAAGTGGAGAAGATTAACAGTAGCGAACAGCATTTACCTGGTACCAATTTTGATATCCATAATTGCCGGATTGGTAAACTGTGTTGTGAGATCTTCGATTTCAATGAATGCTGCAAACAAAAAAAAATCATTTAGCAAAAATTTAACAAACTCTATTAGATTAGTTCACTAGTAATTAGCAGCAAAATCTTTTCCAACTAAAAATGGGTATAATTCTTCCCTCCCCCCCTCTTTTTTCCGTTCTAAGTTTCTGCATAAAATCAACGTTAAACAGTGAGAAAAAATTTTAACGAAGAAATATTTTACAGACATATCAATATTAATTTTAAAAAAAATTGTACACTTTTTATGTAATGTATTCGAGATGAATTAGAATAATAATAAAATTTTTTAGACTGCAAAAATTAAGCCAATCAAACAGACAAATATCAAATCAAAAAATAGAAATTACATTTAAACAGACACACACATCTATGCACTACTCCACCATAAGCTTCAAAAGTTACCCACTAAAACAAGAAAAAAAAACGAAGAAAAAAGTGATATTTTTTTGATCAAAACTCTGTAAAAATGAAAAACTAAAGTATCGCTATGAACAAATACGTATGACTTTAGTTCCTTTTTTCTCTTTTTTCCCCTGCATACTGTAACCGGTGAATGAAAGTACTTTTTTCCTTGATTGATGTTGACTGTTGGTGCAAAAAGTGAGATTGAAATCGAGGAAACAAATCGGTTAAGAAGTAGGATTAAGAGGCCGGCAAGCCGGTATACAGTATGAGACAGATAAAACTCTGTGTGACAACTTTTGATAACTGATGCAGTAGTTTAAGTAGTTTGAAAAAAGGGTTTAGTTACAACTTAAATAGTAGTTTAAGTTGCAGCTAAACCCTTTTTTTTCTTTCGTTTTGCTATAAACCATAGACAGAAATCGTACATTCATTTTTATAGTCGATTTCCTTGTAAAACCTTGGCGTAAACCCTTTCAATGCATTATCCTGCATTATACTCCGATACGCATTTGCCTCATTGTAATCACTGCTTGAACGTCGTTTCCATAACGTTTGATTACTAGCCGGAACAATTGAGCCTAAAAGTATTAGACAGTAGTCAATTTTTTTGTTCTGTAATCTTCTTATATAAAGAAAAAAAATATCAAAAAGCAAAATTAAAATAAAAACGAAAGAAATATGAAGTAAAACTGATAAGCAAATATCTATTTCAAGAAACTAATTCTTCGCAGCTAATTAACTAATAGAAAAAGTTTATTAGATCATTTAATCAAAAAGAAAATAATTTTCTTTCCTCACCCTATCGCTCCCATTGTTTTTTATTTTACCTTTTAATAAATTAATCCGCCTTTTTTTTTCCTTCAGCAGTATATTTACTGAATAAGAAACCAAGGAAATTGAGAAAGTTAGAAAAAATTATTACTGATAGCACAAGAACTGAACAGCAACAACAACGGCAGTAGCAGTAGTAGTATTTTATTCTTACTTCTGTTTTTTTTTTTTGCATTAGAATCAATTACTAAAAAAAACTGAATAAAATGAAATTTATGTAAACCGGGAAAATCTGCTGTAAATGTAATAGGTGATACATAGCCTATTCTATACGCTGTAATAAAGTGTCAAATACGTTTATATCGTTTTACAGTCTCAAAACGTGTATCAGATGCTCAAATCTTTCCTATGCCTTTATTGTACTTATAATTCAAAGCTGCTGCTGCTGTTGCTGTTGTGTTCCTTGCACCTTACCCCCTACTATTCTTCCGTCTATTTAACCTGTTAAGATCACTAAAAAAGTAATAATTTTGTCAGGTGATCAGCATACTAAAGTAATCATTTCTGTGAGAAAAAAAAAAAGCACAAACCATAGTACTCATTAAAGTACAAAATTTACGAGTATTTTTACATAGTAAACAAAATTTTATTTTATAACAAATCTTTCTTAATTGAAAAAAAAAAAAGCAAAATAACTATTGCTAGATCAAAACAGCGAACAATTTTAAAGCTGGAAGCGATCAAAGAATATGTACTTATCATATCTGATCATCAATATTACAATTATATCATCATATTTTCACCATTAATAATTTGCATCTGTTATCAACAACAACAACAACAACAACAATAGCAACAAAAAATGAACTGCTGACAGATTACCAAATACAGAAACAGTCAGAAAAAAAAAAAAGAAATCTAAAATAAATACCTTCATGACCGGATAGTTGAACCCAATTTTTTAGTCGTTCTTTTAGCCAACAGTCCAACGGCAATGCCGTTATGGCCATCGTATCAACAGATCCCTATAGAAAAAAAAACCCGACATTAATCGCTATTATTTCGTTTATTCATTTTCCTATTTAATTTCTAATTTAAATCAAAAAAATTTAAAACGAAAAAAAAACTAAAATTTTATAATTGTTAACAAATAATTAATGCTTTTTTTTTTTTGTCTCATAGTTAATCTTAAAAAATTTAACGTTTTCTCTCCAATTATTAGTCTTTAAACAACAATTTGTTCTTTCTAACAAAATTTTTTTTGTTCTTAAATAAAAAGTAGAAAAACAAAATAGCAGAAAAAAAAGAAAGAAGGAAAGAAAGGAAAAAATGAAGCTTTTTTTCCCGAGAGGGGGAAGAAGCGGTAAAAAAATTAGATGAGAACCGAACGATGAAATGGAGCTGGCGAAGTGTAGCGGATTATATGAAGACGAATGAACCACAGGAGATGGTAAAGACTTTAACCACTAAATTAGTTGGCTATATAAAAACCAAGCAAGCAAAAAAAAAGAAAAAAAAAAAGGAAAAAAATACATTGAAGATTACTAAATTTCTTCTTCCTTTTTCATGCTGCATTTTGCTTTTTCTGCTTTTTTTTTTTTTTTTTCTGTTTTTCTGTTTTCATGCAAAAATTATACGACAAAATAGCCAAATAGCTGCAGCAACAGCAACAACTGCTGGGGAAAGAAAAAACAGGAAGAATATGTGCAAACTGAAGAAGACGATTGATGAAGAAGGAAAAGAAGAAGATGAAACAAAAAATTATATATAAGATTTAAAGTGATAAAAAAAAAAAAAACAAGGTAATAAAAAATAACAGTTTTTTTTTATTCTTTCTTCTTCTTCTCCTTCTTCATCTGCTGCTGCTCCTGCTGCTGCTGTCGCTTATGCTTCTGTTTCCTTCATACAAATTGATTATTCAATATTTTGCATCAATAGATCGGTCTATCCATCTGTATTTGGCAGACAACAACAACAACAACAACAGCGGCAGCAGCAACGACAACAAAGACAACAACAAAAAAGGTTTACTAAATGGTTGTAATAATTACTGAATGTCCAAAAAATATATACTTTTTTTTTTTTTTTTTTTTTTTTT